CACTTTCTGGCTGCATGACCTGGGGCAAGCTCCTTACCCCTGTGAGCCTCTGCCTCCCAAGGAGGAAAGAAGGAGTTACAGTTCCCACCTGGAGGGGCACTGTCAAGATAAAATGAGTTAAGAATGAAAGGGAGTAAAGCCATGCCCAGCATTAGCAAGCTTACAATAAATGTTAACTACATAGTTTTATTAAGACCTTTTCTTGACAAGGAACAAAGTTTCCAGGGAGCACCCCTTCTCAAGGGAGCGGTCCCTACCCCCACCTCAATTCCCTGCTTCACTGCGCCTTCCTGGCCTCCTCTGCTCCAGGGCACAGGTCACCGATTATTATTCTGTGCTTTTGAGGCCCTCTGATTAGCATTGGTGTTAAGAGCACAGGCCCCTTCTGTTTTTTTAGAACCAGGCAGTGTGGGATTAAATCTCAACTCTTGCTACTAATTGTGAGATCTTGGGCACTTAACCTCTCTGTGTCTCAGTTTACTCACCAATAAAATGCAGGTTAATAATAGAACATACTTCATGTAGTTGATATGAGAATCATAAATATTACTTTGTGTTTAATAAATATTAGATGTGTTTCCTGTTATTAATATTATTAATATCTATCTTCCTATTCTTATAAGCTCTGCCCACTTAACATAATGGCTCAATAAATATGCTGAGAGAATAGATTATGAAAGCTAAAATTAACCCCCACGGAAGTTATTTGACATAAGTGCTTTAAGCTAGTTGCTTTTATTATTTTTTTTTCAAATTTTGCTTGTTCTCGTTTTATTTTTGTTATTTTTTTCTGATATGTTTATGAATTTTTAATAGCAAAAAATGACTGGAAAAATTAATTTTAAAAAATAATTAAGGAAATACCTGTGCAAAGGCATAGAACAAAAGAATAACACATAATTTCATAAGGTCAGATTTATAAACATAAAAAACAAATGTGGTGTTAAATTTCTCCGCCTTTTAAAACCATAGCATGAATTTCTTAACTTAGCCTTCCTTACAACCCTGGAGTCTATTTAATTTTAAAAAGAGAATGGAGATGTAAAAGAAGGAAACCTCACCCTAGTGGCAGCCTGGAGGGGCCTGGGGAGCATCATACTAAGTGAAATAAGCCAGCCAGAGAAAGACAGGCACCATATGATTTCACTCATATGCGGAATCTAATGAACAAAACAAACAAACGAAATAGAAGCAGACTCATAGAGACAGAGAACAGACTGACAGCTGTCAGCGGGGAGGGGGTTGCAGGGCTGGGTGACAAAGGTGAAGGGATTAAGCAAAATAAAAACAAACTCAGAGCCACAGACAAGAGTGTGGTGATCACCAGAGGGAAAGAGGGGTGGGGCAGGTAGGAGAGGGAAAAGGGGGGTAAGCGGTGACGGAAGGAGACTTGACTTTGGGTAATGAACACAAGATACACTATATTGATGATGTGTTGTAGAACTGTACACTTGAAGCCTATATAATTTTATTAACCAATGTCATCTCAATAAATTCAGTAAAAAAAACTTTTAAATAACAGAAAAAATAAAAAGAGGGTGAAGAACCTCAGTTAATGATGCTCTACTTTATGGAGAGTGGGTGATGGCTGAGTTTCTGTCGAAAGTTAACTTTTCACCTATAACCATAGCAACATGAAAGAACGCTAAAACTGATCGATATTTGGGCCGGCCTCCTGGGACAGATTTATCAGCCAGGGCTCCTGCCTCTCTGCGAGGTCAAGCTGTGCCCTTTTGTACTGAGACCTGCATTAGAGACAGCCACATAGCACCCACCTGAGTCATGAGGTCGGGCACGCTTGCTGTTGCCCATTCTGATTTTTAAAACAACTGGAGATACTGACTTTTAGGTGTTGGCGGTGCCTGCAAGATCCTAAAGCCCAAATCTTAACTTAGGCTGTGTCCACCCATGTAAAGTAGAGGGAATTATCCAGATTATTCAGCCTGTGGCTGAGGAAGCTCTTGATTTGAAGATAACTGCAGGTAGGCAGCCCTCCCTGTATTGATCGAAGTCCATGCCGGCTTGGGATTCCCAAGGCATTACNAGTTGTATTGATCGAAGTCCATGCTGGCTTGGGATTCCCAAGGCATTACATTGAGGTAGTTCAGAGTGCAGTCTCNCCTCCCTGTATTGATCGAAGTCCATGCCGGCTTGGGATTCCCAAGGCATTACATTGAGGTAGTTCAGAGTGCAGTCTCTGGAACCAGAATCCTAGGTTCAAATCCTGCCTTTCCCAGGATTTGTGGTGGGTTAAAATGGCCACAAATGTTTTTACACTCTTCTCATGGAGAGATGAGGGGTATGCCCCTCCACTTGAATCTGTGACAACTCTGCCTCCAAAATATGAAAGTGACCCTGTCTCAGTTTCTGGCCCAGGCCTTAGAAGCTGCAGCTTCCACTTCTTGCCTCTTGGAGCCTTGAACCACCATGTAAAATCCTACTACACTGCTACAGAGAACACACGGAGGGCCAAGGCTACAGGTGGGGAGAGAGGACCCAGCTGAGCCCAGCCTTACAGTGTCCTCATCGAAGCACATGAGTGGGGCTTTCTTGGACTCTATGAACTAGCACAGTGTGGCCACTAGCTGAGCAAGAGCAAACCATCCAAATCACCGCTGCTGGGTCAGAAGAATCACCCAGGGCATCTCTACCCAAACTTCTGACCCACAGAATCATGGTATGTAATCAAAAGTTTGCTGTTTTAAGTACAGAGTTTTAAGGTGGATTATGATACATCAGTAGATTGCCAGAACAACACTTACTAGTTGTTTTGGTTTCCTTGTCTCTAAAACAGGCACAATACTTACTGGATTGCTCTGAGGATTAAATGAGTTGGTAATACAGAGCCCTTAGGTGGGGCCAGGCATACAGCCAGTACGCTGAATGTGCTCCTGTCAGACTTTGGATGACAATCCTGCTTGGATTTTGAGGTGGAGAAGTCCGAGAGTGGGCTCCATGGCCTCTAACTCTCCAGGCCATTTGGCCCAGCCTCTCCCAAGAAAGTGGTCCCTTGTTGAAGACTCATGTTAAAAGACCAAGGCATGAAGCGCTAACAATGCTTCTAACAGTAAAGCACTAGAGTTCATTGTTCCTCCTAAGAACAGGTCACTGCCTTCCCCAGGCCAGATATTTCCCATCCTTCAAGTCAGTGGAGCTGGGCTGACTCTCAACCCTGCTCCCAGCTCAGCACCCTCGATGTGCACCCAGCTCTTCACAGTCTCCTCAGATCATACTTAATCCCATCTTCAGCTTCACTGATTATACTTCCTCTGCCTCAGATGACCACTCACCTTCTATCTGCCATCACAGACCCCATCACAAGCACTTGAGAAATGAGCAAGCTCCAAGTTTCCCGAAGGATGTGCTGGGAAATCCTGGTCCTGTGAGACACTCTACAACAGAAGAGTTCCGTGGACACTGAAGTTTGGGAAACACTGGATGCTATATCTCCTACTTTCCTGGGATAACTACAAGTCAATTTGCAAATTTTTTTTTAATCCCCACCTGAGGATATTTTTTCCATTGGTTTTCAGAGAGTGGGGAAAGAGAGAGAGAGACATCGATGTGAGAGAGACACATCAATTGGTTGCCCCCCACACAGACCCCAACTGGAGCAAGCCTGCAACCGAGGTACATGCCCTTGGCTGGAATCGAACCTGGGACCCCTCAGTCAGCAGGCTGATGCTCTAACCACTGAGCAAAGCTGGGTAGGGCCTCTTTGCAAATTAAATCTCTGATAAAAGGCTTCTTGGAAAGAGGAACTGCTGAGCTGAGTCCTGGAGGAGTGGAGAGGGAGGCAGGAGGAGCAGAAAAGGAAGTAGGAAGATGGTCAGAAAGGCAAGTTAAAGGGGCTGGGTTTAAGATCTGAGGGCCATGGAGGCCTCCTGAGGACTTTAAGCAAGAGCTTATAAAATCAGATTTGTATCTTATAAAGATCACTAACTCTCACTAAATGCTTTTGAACTTTATGTTTTGATTGGAAACATATAGTAAACTAAACATGTTGCATTTTTCCTAATTCCACCACCTCAGGGAAGGGGGTAGACCTTAACACAGTAGCAAGTATAGAAATATAGCCATCAGGCAGTAAATGAGTAGTTATTCTGATTTTATTGTTTAAAAAATTCCTATAGGTGCCCTAGCTAGTTTGGCTCAGTGGTTAGAGTATCTGCCCTTAGACTGAACGGTCTCAGGTTCGATTCCAGCCAAGGGCACTTGCCTCGGTTGCAGGCTCAATCCCAGCCCTGGTCGGGGCTCGTGCAGAAAGCAACCAGTAGATGTGCCTCTCTCACATCAATGTTTCTCTCTCTCTCCTCCTCCTCCCACTCTCTGAAAAGCAATGGAAAGGATTAAAAAAAATTTCCTTAAGTCCTGTAGGCCTGAGTTCAGAGATACTTGACTAGATCAGAAAATTCTTACTTTTCTACAGAGCAAAACAGAAGCTCTTCTGGATTACTCTTACATTCCAAGCTTTCCCACACTGTCGACTACTAAGTACTTCTGGGACATGAGGTTAGCCAGGCTGTGATTTAATTACACAGTGATTAATGAAGAGCTGGGGGGAATAGCTCTTTATTTGGGTGGGGGCACTGTCAGATGAAAGGTGCAGTAGTTCCAGAGGCTGTTTGTTCCAGCCCTGTGTTCGATTGCAACAATGTGAGTATCTTGTCTGCACTGGTGGATTATTAACAGAGGTTATTGGTCTCCATGGCTAAATGATTGCTCTGAACATAATCTCATTTATGGGAGGGGAAAAAAAAAACCCCAGGCCTGTGGGTCAGGGAGGGTGTATAAATAGCCATTGCCCTCCAGGTTCTGCTCCATTTCAGAAGCTGGAGCAGCCCCACGGACACACTGCACAGGCTGGTTGGCATCTCAGCTCCGACATACAGACTGAACTGGGGACACAGACTAGGACCCTCTGCCGGTGACTTTGAAGAGACCCCGTGAAGGAGGCAGTGAGGGACGTTTCTCCCTGACCTGCACTGTCCTTCCCCAGCATGTGCACCGGCGGGTGTGCCAAGTGCCTGGGGGGCACCCTCATTCCCCTCGCTGTGTTTGCCGTCCTGGCTAACATCCTGCTGTTTTTTCCTGGAGGAAAAGTGATAGACAACACTGAACACCTTTCCCAAGAAGTCTGGTATTTCGGAGGAATATTAGGAAGTGGGGTCTTGGTGAGTAGCAAAGCCTTAAAATCCCCCTGAAGGAGATTCTCACCCCATTTTTCTAAATCGGGCACTTACTGACCAGGAAAATATTTAGCTGCTTGGTGAAAAGCCAGTGCCCTACCTGTTCCTTCTCCACTGGGGCCTGACAAGGACCTGTCCGCTGTTATTTACTAGGTAAATTGAACTTGGGCTGGTGGCTCTCATGGGCCAGTTAAGCTCCAGGAAACAAACTGAAGGTCACAGAATTTCTTAAATCTAACAAGAGAGGGGCCTGGCAGTAGGAGGGGTAAGGGGTGGAAACACACTTTCTAGCAAATTGATTGACTGGAACCACTAAGAGAAGCAGGTGTCAGTGGATTCTCTCTCCTGGTGCCCAAAGGCTTTCTCATTTCTGGTTCCAATAGAGACTGGGAACTTCCACTTTAGAGAGAGACACTTTGGTGACAATCCAGGTCACTTTTTTTTTCTTGGAAACTTGGAGTGTCAGATCTTGAAATCTTGCTCCATTGAAACTGCAGTTAATCCAAATGGTATCTAAATGCTCAAAAACACTGGGCCACCCTGCCAGCCATGCCCTGTCAGGTCCTGCCATACCCTTTGGCTAGCAAATCCCACACCATAGCTGTGACTCCTCACATAGGCAGGCAAGGGCCTTCTTTTCACATCCAGACCCTTTCTGAGGCGCTTCTTGTACTGACAGATGATCTTCCCAGCACTGGTGTTCCTGGGCCTGAAGAACAATGATTGCTGTGGGTGCTGTGGCAATGAGAGCTGTGGGAAGAGATTTGCGGTGAGTTACCAGGGGGACAGACACCAGAATTATTCCCGGGTACACTGTCCCCTTGTGCTGGGCATCTTGAGGGTGGAGATGAGTAGCCAGCCCCAAGGAGGACTCTGGGGACAGCTGGTGCAGGGATAAAGATGGAATTCTCCCTGTGGATGGAAAGGAATAATGATAAATTTAAAATATCCCTTCCTATTTTAAAAACAAGTGGGGAGATAAGAGCTGAGAACTTCAGTGGAACAATATACAGAATGCAGGCTGGGAGGGCAGAGATGGGGACTGGCTCTCTCCCTCAGCCATGAGCCCTGAGCCCTTAGACAAGTAATTTCCTTCTCTGGTCCATCTATAGAGGGGTTAGGATATGAAAGCAGATGGTGACCTCTTCTCCCCAATAGCCACCTAAATACCCCACCCACACCACTGCCAGGTCAGTTCCTCAGTGCCCAGCTCTTCCCCCTTCTCCCTGAATTTTTCCTCCATGCAGCCATCCATCTTTTCTCGAGTGGGTGGAAAGATTAGCCATCCATCCTCCTCATGAGGTGGGGAGAATTCTGGGTCGTGAGCTCGGGGCCCATTTCTACAACTGGCCAAGTCACTGTCCTGCTCTCGGCCTCCCTCTGCTCACCTGCACTATGAGGAAGTTGAACTAGGTCAGAATTCCCCAAGCTTGGGATGTGCTCTGCTGGTACTCAGATGTGATATGTTTTTCAACAGCATGGCAGGCTTCTCCCTTTTCACTTCCTCTTGCACCCTTTGAGTCTATCATGAAAAATGTCTTGTTTTGATGGAAAGAAGCCCTTACTACCCCTAACCCCTCAAAATCCCCCTTTCTAACAAAAAGAGCACAAGCCCCCAGCTCCAGGGTTGCAAGCAGCACTAACAGAGAAGTCAGTGATGCTGTGTTATGTTTGCTAAAGATCCTAGCTTTTCATTCAGATGATGTAAATGGATGAAAGAGAGGGTTGACTTAAAGAGAAGTATCAGGAGATCGGGTACATTGATGTGGCAAAGGCGAAGGTAGAACTGGAATGAGGCGCGATGAGGGGTGAGCTCAGCTCCTGCTCCATCCCCTGGGGTGCAACCGTCCACTTGAGAGGCTCCCGAGCCCCAGGGATGAACTATACACACTCACCTTAACTTCTTCAAGGGGAAGCTATCTGCTCTGAAACAAAACCATGTCATCATTCTCACCAACTTTGCTCATTTATCCAATCACACAATATTTCTTGAGCACAAATGAAGGGCTGAGGCCGGTGCACTGCACACACCACACAGATGTCCACGTGAGATGACAGATCATTCAAAGAAAACGTCTCACCTTCATAGCACCATCATGAGTCCCCAGGAATCATCAATTACTATAACAACCCTTAAATCATCACTTAGAAAGAGATGTAAAATACCACAATTTATTTGATAAAATTATATTACATGTTATATGTAATATGGTATTTTTAAGTAATTAAGATAGGAAGAAATATATAACTCATTTCTCCCTTGAAATGTAATCTTGCTCTGCTTGGTAGACTTTGAGGGAATATGTGGAAAATGATAATTTGAAAAATGAAAAGGAAATTGAGCTAAAAGAGAAGACTCACTGCTTAGAGTCCACCAGCTCATTCCCTGGCAGTGACTAGAGGTGAAGATTAGCCCATTAAAACAAGGTTTGGTGTATTTATTTTTATTTTTTGGCTTATTACAACCACAGCAAAAAGTGAAGAAACATTCAAAGTATTGTACAAAACTTTTTTTTAATTAGTTGTAAGTGAAGTCCAAGAGGCAGGCTGAGAAGTCATGTGTTCACAAGTACAGTTGAGTCAATCCGATCTGAAACATTTGGTCTGCCCCATTCCAGTTGTCTGTCTGAGCTTCCTAAACCCCCTCATCCCCAACACCTGGGTGGGACCTCCCTTGGTGAGAGTTGAGGATGACACCTCCAAGTGACTGGCCAACTGTCCACAGGGCAGTGCCCATCAAAGGAGCGGCCAAGCCAGTCTGTAAGCTGAGGCCCCAGCCACAGTTGCCCTGGACCAGGGACCACCGCACTCTAGGTGGCCAGCAGAAGCATTTCTTGCTTTTGTTTGGTTTGCAATCAGCTGCCAACTTTTCAAACTGCAGTTCATTAAAGTATGTAGATAACTTACTTCTTTTTCAAAACTTATGCTACTCCTGGCCTGCATTTTGCACAGTGGCCTACACAGGGCAAGGCTGAGCCCTTTGTTAGCGCCCCTACCTGCCCCCCAAGAGCCATTGCATGGTGTCCTGCTCTGGAGCCACGTCTCCTTATTGTTCTGAGAATCTGGACAAAGCAATAACCATTCCATAAAGACAGGTATTTACAAACATTTGACAGACCAAGAGCAAGCAGCTATAGCCTGGCTGAGCAGCGCTCTAATGCTGAAAGCTTTGAATTCTTTCTCCCAAGGCTCACAGCATCCCCTCCAGTGTTCAGGGAAAGCGGGGCTTCTGTGGAACCTGGTTTAATGAATCCTGCTGGGTAGAAAGGCCCGTGAGGCATAAATAGACTGGGCCCAGGACTGAGGGCTCAGTCCTGCTGCTGTCCCCACAGCCTTGCTCGCTACCCTTTCCTGGCCCCTAGGGCCCTGTCCTCTCCCTTGCTATGTCTGTCTAGAGTATTCCCCAGAAGTCAGCTGCATCAGTCTTTCTTTTCCCTGGGGAGTGAAACCAGGACTAAGAGCCAGCAGTAGACTCAGGTGTGCTGGCTGTGGAGCTGGAAGAAGTCAGGAGATCACCTAACAGAGTTTCCTGGTGAAACTGGGAAATGCAGGTGAGCTCTCCTCTCAGGACAAGCACATGGAAGCCCAGCCCCAGGAACCTGCCTCTCACATAATCTAGACAAAGTGAGAGCCGAGGAGAGAGGAGGGTGACTTCCAAGGTGGGCTTTAAAAACTCACCTGGCTTTGTTCTCAGGCCTCAACCTCCTCCTCTCCTACTACAGGTTCTCCTGTGGTCTAATCCTTTAAAAAATTGATGTCTCAAGGTCCAATGGGATAGCGAATTAACCTACTCAACTTAATAAGAGTCTTATGAAGACCTTGGCCTTGACAAAGGGCATCTTTAATAATGGGAATGAAGGTAGGTGAGTGAAGGAGATATTTAGGGGCAGGCACACATCAGCGCCCTTTTTAGGTGGGTAAAGGCCCACCCTGGCCATAGGCAGGGCCCGCTGGTGGGCAGGCCTGTGTGTTGGAGAGGAAGATTAGGTCAGGTCATAAAGGAGCATATTCATTATAGGGTAGCACTGCTCCCATGTCTGGCTCACCAGCGCCCCCTAGGGACACCTCCTGGTGAGCATTTCTGAAGTGAGCACTTCAGCTAGTTTGGGGGGATTTAAGAAGACAGTTCTTTGCAATAATAATCTTGAAAGAAGAAATACAGTATGGAACGCTCTTTCTTCACTAAGTGTTATTTATGCTGTAAAATGGACCATGGCACTTGCTCCCTTTCATAGGGACATTGCAGGGTTTGGGGAAGATATTGTAAGCATTCGTGTGCCAGGAAGGGGAGAGTGGTACCAAGTGCCTGGGGTATTGAGGACACAAATGTCCTCAAATGCTTGTTGGGTAAATTAAGTAAATGAACACTCAGGAGGGATTTCAGGTGATTTCCAAACTCTCAAGCTCAATTCTCACGAAATCTTTTGAGTTAGGCATTAAACACCCATTTTATAAATAAGGAATCTGAGGCACAGGACATTAACTTCCTGACTGCAATGCCCCACCTCGCCGTGCTTCCCCCTTCCCGAGGGTAGGAGAGGCTGAAAATACAGGACATTAACGTTTTAGGGGGAAAAATACACTTCAGGTCATCTCTATATATCTCTTAGAATAATTGATAAAGAGGAACCTCCACGCCCACCAGAGATGTTTCTCCAACATGTTGCCACTACACAAGTCTCTACACACCATGTCCCCAAACCACCCGCTTTCCCTCCGTTCCCAGCCGCCAGGGCCTCCTCCCTCAGGTTCAGCAGACAGAAGTACCCGGCTGACCAAGGACCCCGAGGACAGGGGCAGAGCTGGGGTCTGATCCCGACTGGTCAGCCTCCAGAGCCCGACAGACACGGAGGTCACGGAGCTGACATTGGTGAATTGGAGGGCACCTGAGTGGAGGGCAGGTTCATCTTCCGTTTCAAGGGAAGAGCTCACAGCAGATCATAAACGCAGGTGTTTATCCACGTGGACAGGACATTGAACAACCCTAAGAGAGTGAGCCCTTTACTTTCATTTTTCTGCCCAGAGTGATGCTGTCTGTATTTGTGGAAAACAGGAGTGTGTGGGGACAGGATACTAAACATATTACAATATAATAATGACATTTATCAAGTGCTCGCTAATGACTTGGGAAATTATCTGAAAGTTGGACATAGGCAGAGACTTCTGGGTACCCTGTTAGTGAAGTACTGGGCACTATCTAACAGCCCCCCACCTGGGCTTGTCTGAGTTTCTAAAGTCTGTACCTTTGATGCACTATTCACTATTGATCAGATGATCTTGCTTAGTATTGTCTCCTTCGGGCAGGTATTGATTATTGAGCCTATTTTACAGAATGGAAGTGGAGGCCTCAGAAAGATAACTTGCCAAGGCCATAAGGAGCAACCAGGGCTCAGACCCAGACTGGTCTGCCTGTCATTCAGGCCCGTGACCACTGCACTGTAGCGTCCCTCCTTAGTATTTATTCATTTAGATGAGGAAAGACATTTCCATAGTACAAAGACGAGAAAGGAAGCCTCCCCTTCCAGGCTCCAAACTTTGGCTGCTCCTTCCCTCCCCCCTCCATAGGTGACTAGTGTTCCCAATATTGTGTCTTCTCCCAGAGACATTCCAAGCCTGCTGCCTGTTTACTTTAAAAAAACAAAACAAAAAAAACTACCAATTTAGAGTGTCAGGTTCTAACATAACAAACTTGGCCTCAATATTTTTTCTTTTAGCAAAAAAATGTTGTGTCTTGAAACTCACGACAAATTAGTTATTCCACGCTAGTTT